AGACGGTTTGGGGTGGGGTTTCCCCTGCTGGTCAGCTGGCTGGTGGAAGATCATATTTGGTGGAAATGTGACAAGATAAAAAGTTTTTGGAAAATTACCAAGCAGCTCATAAAAGATATCACAGAAGTAGATATACCATTGATCCCAGAAATATTTTTGTTAAATATTACTCCAGACGGTATCAAATATAATGAAGCATGTATTATTGTATACTTAACAACAATGGCAAGAATTTGTATTGCAAGAAATTGGAAGTCAGATAGTATACCTACTAGAGAAGAACTGATAAATAAACTTTTTGAGGTAATAGAGATGGATAAATTAAATATGTTTTTGGCTGGAAAATCAGAGGAAAATTTTAACCAGAAATGGCATAAAGCCATAAAGTGGTATGAGAAAAATCTGTAAAGCACCCCCCTAAAGATTAGTAAACAGGAGAAAACTGTATGTATGTATAAGATGGAAAACTGTAAATAAACAATTTAAAAAAAGAAGAAGAAGCCCCCAAAATCAGGGGGACCCCTGTCCCAGCTGGGGGTCTGGCAACTGTACTCATGCCTGCAACCCCTGGGAGACTTTGGGGACAGGGCATGGGGAAAATGGAGAGTTGTGCATGCGCAACTGTCACCAATACCCTAGAATTTTGTCAGTTGCTAGAGACTGGCAAAATCCTAGATCAATAATGACGTCGCTTCCGGTTCTTAGCCAGCAGTGATGCTGACATATACATATCTCTCCCCTCCCGTTTCCACCTGCCACTCATTTGAGCAGTATCACGGGCCCGCCAGGAGACGGGGAGGGGGGCAGATCATCTGCCATAGTGGGTGGGTTGCAAGCCTATCTCTAGGACTGAGAGACAGTTCGGTGTCGTGGTTAAGTGCACAGACTCTAATCTGGGAGAACCGGGTTTGATGCCCCACTCCTCCACTTGCAGCTGCTGGATGACCTTGGGCAAGCCACAGTTCTGGCAGAGCTGTTCTCTCAAGGACAGTTCTGGAAAGAGTTCTCTCAGCCCCGCCTACCTCACAGGGTGTGTGTTGTGGGGAGGGGAAGGGAAGAGGGAACACTGGCTCCCATCCCATTGATGGTACTTGATGTACACCATGTAATCCGCCTTGAGTCCCAGAGAGAAAGGTGGACAATAACTGACCTAAATGAATACATTTAAAATGCCCTTCAGAGTACAAGACAGGATATGTGCCACACTTAAAAACGAAAGAAAACGGCAGCCACATACCTAAAGCAGGAGGTGGGGGGAGACCGAGGACAGTGCCAGCATTTGATTTGTTAATATGCAGGGCTGTCATTTCACTTACAAGTCAACAGGACGTTGGGATCAACTGCAGAGAAGGAGGAGGAGGAGGAGGAGGAGATTGGATTTCTACCCCGCCCTTCACTTGGAGTCTCAGAGCGGCTTACAATCTCCTTTCCCTTCCCCTCCCCACAACAGACACACCCTGGGAGGCAGGTGGGGCTGAGAGAGCTCAGCTCTCTCTAGAACTGCCCTTGAGAGAACAACTCTGAAAGAACTTGTAACTGACCCAAGGTCACACCAGCAGCTGCATGTGGATGAGTGGGAACTCAAACCCAGTTCTCCCAGATTAGAGTCTGCACTCCTAACCACTACACCAAACTGGCTCTCTAGAGTCCCTCTAGACCACTGATGGCGAACCTTTTAGAGACCGAGTGCCCAAACTGCGACCCAAAACCCACTTATTGATCGCAAAGTGCCAACACGGCCATTTAACCTGAATACTGAGGTTTTACTTTAGAAAAAACAACTCACACATTAACTTAAGATGATCCAAACAAAGTAAGGAAAGCAATCCCAAATGCTTTCATTGACTTAAAATTATTTGGCAGAGAATTTGACACTTTAATGATGGTCTGGGGCTGGCTGGGGCGATGGCACGCGTGCCCACAGAGAGGGCTCTGAGTGCCACCTCTGGCACCTGTGCCATAGGTTCGCCACCACTGCTCTAGACCAAGCGAGAGGCTGTCTTAAGAAGGCTGAGACCAAGAGGACAGCTATGATGTGAATTCTGTGTCTTTGCAAAGGAGATTTTACCCTCTGTTCCTTCTGCTTGTGAGCTTAGTTACGGTAATGCAGTCCTTAACTCCTACCTTTAGAAGTGCATTTGTGCAAGCTATTTAGAACCCCTTAGTGTACCAAAACATAGGAGAGCTTTTACATGAGCACCCTGTAACATTTTGCTATCAGCAGTCCTTGAGAGCTATTGCAAGCACATCCCTTCAAAAGATCTATTTTGTCCTTGTGGTACCGAGGCGACAGAGACGGTATCCTATGTGCTGTTGCTGCGTAACTAGTGCAAAGGAGTGAGAGATGAAGTAATTGCTCCATTCCTGGCTACGATACCAGCTGAATACCCCTTTTCTCTTGCTGGGGAGAACACAACATATCACTGCAAAAGCGCCTCTCTTTCTCAGGCCGATTTCACACAAGAGCTGCGCCGCGGTCGCGCCTCCCTTTGCCCCGCTTCTATTGGTCAATTTCCCACTCGAAGCCGCGCAGCCGCATTTTGACAGGCAGCTTCACCCGATTTCCCCCGTGGTTTCATGATCCTCAAAAAACAGGATCACGTGTGAAATTGGTCTCAGTGTAGCCATTGTGTCTAGAGCTGGGATGCTGAAAGAAGTCCGTTAATCGAACATGTACAATTGCTATATTTTGCTTTAATGGTTGTGTTATTGAACAGCACGAAGACCGTATAATAAAACGGTCTTGTCTCTTTGTGTAGTTGGCAGTCTCAGAGAGAGCATCATGCTTCAAAGGGAATTTGGGCTAAACAGGAGAGCGCTTCGGAAGGAAGAAACAGATCCCAGCGAGAGGCCAAAAGGACCGCATGTCAGCATGGTGACCCTTTAATCACCACAGCTAGTAGCCACTGATAGACCTGTCCTTCGTGAATCTGTCTAATCCCCTTTCAAAGCTGTCTATGCCTGTGGCCATCACTACATCCTCTGGCAGCAAAACCCACATCTTAATCACTCGCTGTATAAAGACGCATTTCCTTCAGTCCGTCCTGAATCTAATAAGAACATAAGAGAAGGCGTGTGCGGAAGCCACTGCATCTGCTAAAGTGAGGAGTGTTTGAACATGAGGTACCACCAGGACCTTCCATTAAAGAAGATCTCTCTTTTGTGAGGAAGAGGCCCCTGCCACTCCAAGAGGACATCCAGACGGCCAGTGTTGTGTTGGAGATGGGGTAATGCATTATCTTTTATAACATCACTGGCAGAAGGAGGAGGAGGAGGAGGAGGAGGAAGAGGAGGAGATTGGATTGATACACTTCCCTTCACTCAGAGTCTCAGAGTGGCTTACGATCTTCCCTTCCCCTCCCCACAACAGACACCCTGTGAGGTAGGTGGGGCTGAGAGAGCTCTTTTGAGGACTGCTCTTGAGAGAACAGTTCTGGGAAAATTTGTGACCGACCGAAGGTCACACCAGCAGCTGCATGTGGAGGAGTGGGGAATCAAACCTGGTTCTCCCAGATTAGAGTCTGCACTCCGAACCACTACGGCAAACTGACTCGGAAGTGGAGTGTAGCTTCTTAAGTCTTGGAAGCCACACCTAAGCTAAGGGATAACTATTTGGCCAAATGCTCTGTGCCTTTCCCCTGTCCAGACTAAGGATGAGCAAAGCTGTGATCACAAGTCCCTTGGCAAATCATCCCTCGGGAAGATGAATGATCGTCAACTGGGAAGCGTCTTGTGAATAGGAATATGCAGGAGATGACCAGGGATACAAGAAGCTACCAAACCAAGGAATAGACGGGTGGCAGGGCTATTTTTGGGCAGGAACGCACAGGAACGGAGTTTCAGCTGGCTCCCGAGTTGGCCACGCCCAGCAGGAACTCATTAGCATAACAGGCCACACCCAACAGCAGCAACTCATTAGGATTGGCTACGTTAGGGGTGTGTGGGCTAACATGCAAAGAAGTTCCTGCTACAAAAAAAGCCCTGGGTTTTGACAACAAACAAGATAAACAGAATAAGAATCAAAAGGTCGGTGTGGCTGGATGACCACATTTCTGGTAACGTGGGGGTGCAGCCTAATGTGCTAATGAGCTGTGCTGTCAGGGGTGTGGCCCAATATGCTAATGAGTTCCTGCTGTTGGGTGTGGCCTATTATGCTAACGAGTTCCTGCTGGGCTTTTTCTACAAAAAATGCCCTGACGGGTGGTATAGAGTAAGGTGGCAAAACCACAGTGGGACATTTGAGAAGAACGTCTTATTCCTCCAGGCAGTTCAGCATCCGGGCACCAATGCAAAGAGACCAGGAGGCTCCTGGTTCAATGCCCAGATTATCCTAACAGATATCCAGGAACCTCCTGCATACAAATAAATGCAGTGTGTATCTGTTCACCCGTTACTTTCTCCCTATGGGGAGGAGAAGAGGTACACATGTGAGTTGAGAATTATCTCGGGCATTTAAAGGCTGAATTGTCCCAGTTGCCTGGAAGATATGCCTGTTAAGTCAGCTGCAATGTAGCTCTGACTCAAGATCAATTCAAAACGGATTCAAACCCCTCAAAGGAGACTCAGGGTTTCTGCAAAACTGCAGCATTTAATGTACTGGCATGAGAACTGATAAGAGCAGGCACAACAGAAGGAGGCAGCTACAACCCGCTACAAGAATCCTTACAAACACGCTGAATCCAGTGAGCGCTGCTAAATCAAAAACAGTCTTTTTAAGGTAGCGGGGTATTCCTTTCTGCCGAAAAACTAAAAGTTTACTTAAAAAAAAAAAAATTGTTGGCAGCATTTCAAGCACAAGGCTGGCTGCTGATTCATGTTCCGGATTTGCCGATCGCTTTTTAAACCTTCTGATTAATTTTACAGACGGCTTCATATTTTCCCTTCGACAGTGTCTCTCCCCCCCCGCCCCAAGAGATCTTTTGTGGGAAAATGACTGAGACCGTTCTTAATAATCCAAGCAGTAAATTTATACATCTGCATATAGGAAAATGGCGACTCACACAGAAAGCGTGCAAGAATACTGCTCCGTGCCGCCGATCCTCATTTGTGAAGATGTCGCTCGGGAATTCATTGAGAGCTGAGAAGGAATGGGAAAAGAGTCAAGCTACTGGAAACCGTGCGTTCATCATAAAAACACCTTAATGAAATGAGCCAAGCGCTACTATAGGTTGGTGATCCCTGTGTGTTCGCCTGCCGTGGAAACCCGTTCTACTCTTTCACGTTACTTTTAATTGACTTCATCTGTCCCCGGGCCATTTAAAGCCTTCGGTGTTCTATTCCATGATCCTGGGCAGAATTGAGAGATCATCCCCCCCCCCCACAGTAACAACAGGGAAAAGTCTTGTGGCCCCTTAAAGACGAACCTAATTTATTCTGTCAAATGCTTAAAAAAAAAAATTAGTTTATATACAGAAAGGGGGGAAGGGGAAAGGAAGGAAGAAAAGAAAAATACAGAAAAATACAGAAAGAACTGCCATAATTCTGCGTGGCACGGATGCTGCTGGACTGGACTGGACCATCGACAGGACAATTTCACCCTAATGAAATGATCGATACCATCTAGGGCTGCCAAGCCGCGGCGGGGGATCCGTGCGTCGTCACAGGATCCCTGCGGCAGGGGGACAGCGATACGCGCTACACCGGCATCGCCAGGATGTGACGCTATGCGTCGCTCTGGCAACGGGACTCCAAACAGCCCCGTTGCCAGAGCGACACGTAGCGTCACTATGTTTTATACTGTTTTTATTTATGGGCTTGTGCCCCCGTGTAAGCCACCCTGAGCCCGTTCGCGGGGAGGGCAGGGTAAAAATGCAATAAAGTTTTAAAAAATATATTTAAAATTCCAATTTAGCATCCTGCATACATATCTTCTCATTACAGTTTCACAACTACTTCATCTATCATTCTTATTATTCTTCACAATCTTATTTTCTTTATACTTAAGTTTTAACATGCCTTCTTCTTCCATTTTTCCTTTTAATATATCTGTCAACTTGTCCATTTCAACACATTCCATTATCTTAAATGCTTTTGTGAACCAAAGGCCATCTGATAAGAGGCAGAGAGTGTAAATGCACTGCCCAAGGGGCACCGTTGGCCCGTGAGAGCTTATATTGCATTAGAAAGTGTCCCAGTGAATGAGCTCGTGCTGGTATCACTGGTGGTTAGAAAAAATGAGAACTACTGCAAGTATGCAATTGTAATACTAATAATCTTCCAAGTGAGTACAAAATTACAAAATATACAATAACAGTAACATTGTGTATTCCAGATAATCTATAGGTGATGGACGAAATTCCCCGGAGTTGGTGCTCCGTTTCATGATGACTTCCTCACACATCAAAACTCATAAAGAAGTGCCCTCATACAGTCACAAATATTACAAATGGGTTCTTCATAAATCCTAAACATTTGTAGTGTTCATTCCTGTTGTATATCAGATCAACATGTAAATGCGGGCTCCTCACTGATGGTGCTGGGACCTGGGACAGTGTGCCGGTGAGACCCAGGAAGGTACAGTAGTTAGAGTGTCAGACCTAATTTCAAACCCCCATTTTGCCAGAGAAGCTCACTGGGTAACCTTGAGCCAGTCACACTAGCCCTACCGCACAGGGTTGTTGTGAGGATAAAATGGAGGAAAGAAGAATCACGTGAGCCACTTTGGGGAGAAAGAGGGTTATAAATGGAGTAAACAAATAAATAAAATAGTGCCACTTGAGTGGATAATGAGGACAGAGCTGGCATGAGGGGCTATTGTGGGCGCTAGTCCCTGGGTTTGTATTTCCATTGGATGGTCCACTGTTGCTAGTGCATAGTTGCTTCTGGATGGGGTGGGGCTGTCTGCAAACAAGGGTTGGCATACCACCAGGGGTCATTTCCTGCCCAGGGGGCGGGCACATGCAACGAGCCACACCCCCTGCTCCCAGCAGCCCTCAGTCAGAGTAAGAAGCAGCCAGGAAAGTTGCAGAGCCCCCCTGCCCCCCCCCAATAGCTAGCAGTCCAGTGGCACCTTTAAGACCAAGTTTTATTCAGGTACAAGCTCTCCCTCCTCTGCGAGGACAGATCTGCATGTCCCCCCCCCCAATAGCTAGCAATCCAAAACAGTCCAGTGGCGCCTGAGCGGTGGGCGTTGCCTTCTGACACACTTCCGGTGATGTCAGGGGGTGTGGCGTATGCAAATGAGTTATGCTAATGTGTTATGCTAATGCGCTCCCGCGCCTCTTTTTCTACGAAAGGACCCCTGCATACCACTACAATATAGCTAGGGTTGCCAGCCTCCAGGTGGGACCTGGATCTCTCCTGGAATTACAGCTGATCTTCACATGACAGCAATCAGTTCTGCGGGAGAAAATGGCTGCCGGAGGGGTGGACTCTGTGGGGTGTTGTGCTCTCTCCCTAAGCCCTGCCCTCTCCAGGCTCCACCTCCAAAAGCGCCAGGAATTTTCTCAACACAGAGTTGGCAATGCTAGGCTTGGAAGGAGGGAACCCCCAGATCCCTGACGATCTGCTGGAGAGCTTTTAGCTATCATCAGAAGGTGATGCTTGCGGGCATTTTGCAGTTTGCCCTGCTGGGTATGTCTTGGGCTGTGGTCACATGGCAAGCTTACTGTGATGTATATTTGATCAGGGAGTATTTCTTTGTGGGTTGGGATGATCACACATCCCTCCCTGAACCACTTGCATCGTGCGGCGAGGCTCCAGGCACCGTCCAGATAGCCGCACCACCCAACCAGCGGCACGGCGCAAGTTTTTAAAAAAACATTCTTTGCGCATGCGCATAGGCACATGGCCAAATTACTGCTCCCGCTTGGATGCACTGTATTCCCTTGTTTTTGCAGTGCTTTTTCCCTGAACAGCAAATAAAATGAACCCCTGAAGTACAACCGAGTGCTGGAGTCTATATACGTGCGCTTGAACGTTCATGCATTGAATATATTCAGTGCAGGATTGATTATGCACACAATGGCGAAAGCTGGGGGGGGGGGAGCGCAAGAAAGACGTTCAGACATCCTAATTGCATTCATAGCAAGAGATGGCTGTCCAGATTGGTGAAATGGAGGATTCACGGCACAAATATTCGGAAAGTATTTGATTTTCTTGGTGTTGGAAAAATTGCTACGAAACCGGGAGTCCGCTTCGGTACAGGAGACAGATGCTGCCATCTGATCAGCCCGTTTAAATGCAATTGGGAACAGTGGTGAAAACCGATCAAAATGACCGTGTGACCACAGCCTTGGAGAAGGCAGCTCCTAGGCACCAGTCTCGTCTTCCCAATCTGCCCCTACATCTCTCCAAGTGAGAACTGGGGTTTTAGGAATCCTTGTTGTAAATCCTGCAGATGTTTGTCCCAGTCTGAAACACTGGTGCAGATGAGGTTGTACCTCATGTCATGGCTACAGACGACGGGCCGTGGATGTCCTTCTACCCTTTATGTTGGCCAGACTGGACAGTCCCTATGAAAGAGAATGAATGGCCACCAATGAGATATTTAAAAAAGGAAACATGCAGAAACCAGTGTGGAAGCATTTTAACCTCCCTGGACATTCAGTAATGGACTTTAAGTTTGCAGTACCACAGCTGGGAACTTTCAGAGGGAGACTCCAGGGGAAAGCTGCTGAGCTGGAGTTTATACGCTGATCTGAGACTCTCAGACATAGACTCAAGAGGGACTTGGGATAGCTGGCTCTCTACCAAAAATTGTTCCTCCTTCCAGGTTTACATAGTTTAGTCAAGTGCATCCTGCTTTGCCAATTCATCAACAGCTGGGAGCACTCCACACACACATTCAGGCTGTGATCACACGGGCAGTTTGGCCCGACACAGCCACTCCTCCCCTCCAGATCAAATGGGCGCAGTCAGACAGCCACATCTGTCAGGCATTCCCCAGTCATACTTATCATGTCATAGGATGACTTGGAGCCAGGTTAAAAAGTAATTGCGTGTGGCCAGATGTCTGGACACGGGGGAGCACGTGCAGAACAGATTTAACAGTCTGAACCTGCAGATCTGTTCTGCCGCTAGGGAAGTTGTTTTTTTTTAATTGCCTATATGCACATGTATGCACATGCACATGAGCATATGTGCACACGAGTACACATGCACATGAATCGGAGTCTCAGAGCAGCTTACAAGTTCCTTTCCCTCCCCCTCCCCACAGCAGACACCCTGTGAGGTAGGTGGGGCTGAGAGAGCTCTCTCGAGAACTGCCCTTGAAAGAACAGCTCTGAAAGAATTTATGAGTTCCTTTTCTGAGAGATGATGAGATAGGGCTATACCAGGGGTGGCCAAACTGTGGCTCAGGAGCCACATGTGGCTCTTTCACACATATTGTGTGGCTCCCACTACAGTGGCCGGGGAAGCAAAGGGGAGGCATGCCTCCCCAATTGGTCTTCCCTTCCCCAGCCAGTGCAGAGACAGGAAGCAACTTGAACTTTAAATGCATTCTCAAAGCCCCCCCCCCCCAATCAGCCGGCTTGGAGAAGGCATTTGTCTCTCTCTCTCTCTCTCTTTTTAATAGAGTTTTATTAGTTTATATATAGAAAGGGGGGAAGGGAAAAGGGGGGGGGGAGAGTACAGTGTTGTATTTAAAAAACTCCAAATTAGCATTCTGCATGCATTTGTGACAGCAGCCATGAAAGTAAAAGACGCCTGCTCCTTGGGAGGAAAGCGATGGCGAACCTAAACAGCATGATAAAAAGTAGAGACATCTCCCTGCCAACAAAAGTCCACATGGTCAAAGCAATGGTATTCCCAGTAGTCATGTATGGCTGCGAGAGCTGGACTGTAAGGAAGGCCGAGCGCCGAAGAATAGATTCTTTTGAACTATGGTGCTGGAGAAGACTCTTGAGAGTCCCTTGGACTGCAAGGAGATCAAATCAGTCCATCCTAAAAGAAATCAACCCTGACTGTTCCCTGGAAGGCCAGATACTGAAGCTGAAGCTCCAATACTTTGGCCACCCAATGAGAAGGGAGCACTCCCTGGAGAAGACCCCGATGCTGGGAAAGATTGAAGGTCAAAGAAGATGGGGACGGCAAAGGATGAGATGGTTAGACAGTGTAATAGATGCAACGA